GTGGACCAAAACCGACCGAAATAGGATGATCATAAATCAACAAAATAGTATAGTAGTCAATAACTAGATCTATTTATTTGCGTTTACTTGCCAGTGATAATACACTCCCATTTTTACAATCATCTGAAGACTAAACAATAGTGTTTGCTGGAGCACATGTAATTAACATGATTTACATTGATTAATTATCGTATGTGAATAGCAAATAGGAATGGATTCTCTCAGTAGAGTACATTTTTTGCTACAAGATTAATAGAGGACTCCAAGCAGCGGAATACTTGACCTAGTGGTCAGAATCTCATGAACTCTTGTTCATTTCATTTTTTTCTGTGTGCCTCCTGAATGTCGAGGTGCAGAGAAGATTTTCAAGCATTAATGCATTTCCACAGTGAAATTAATCTTATACCGTCCTAACACCAGAACCCCTTACCCAGGGCCCCTTAAATGTACAGTTTTGGAAGATGCACCCTGCCTCATCAGATACTGTAACTATGCTTTTAATTTGATTGCTTAATTCTCAGATCTTCGAAGATATAATGCATTTGCATTAGAAAATCCATAGAGCCCCTGACAGCAAAACCCTTGACCCAGAGCTATGAAATTAACAATTTGAAAGAGGTACCTTTGCTCATCATAACCATGGACTTAGTTTGTCATCTAGATATACAGGGAAAGAGAAGACTTTTCAAGACTTTATGCGTATCCGCTTTACGATAAATAGAACCCCATCCTTATTCCAGAACCCCTGAACCTGGGGTCATGATTCTAAGAATTAAGGTACAGTACTCATTACTTGTGATGATCATGACAAAAGCTTGATTTTCTTGAGGATATTTTCAAAATTGCATTAATTTGGATGGTTATTGTCCCCACTCTCAGGCCCCCACGGCCGGGGGGGGGGGGGGGGCAAGGACTATGGAATTCACAATTCTTTGCCCATATATGCTTTATACCAAAATTGGTTTAGTGGTTTATGAGAAGCTAAAAATGGCCCAAACTTTGAATAAGGAAGAATGATAAATATTTACCAGATATATAATTACTTACAATCATTGTTATCATAATGCTTACAGAGGGTTATTTGTTTTGTTTTAATGAGTCGTTAAAACGAAATCGATTGTAGAGAGACTGAATTTGGGTGCTTTGAATTTCCGTTACGATGTTGAGGTGTTTAGTATCTGCTTTCATTGTATACCTAAGGAAATATTCTGATGAATAGTATTTAAGGTATGTCACTCGTCAGCTTTAAAGAAAAGTTCGTTCAGGACCTCTTACTTCAAAACTCTTCATTATAATTCAATTTTTATAACATATTTGAATTATACAATGCAAATTATACAATATTCAATTTAAAAACTGTTCACAAAGTCATAAAGAAACAAGATTTATAGGAGATTATTTCTAGTGGTGGAAAGATATTTAGAAGAAAATTCTTCAAATTTATTTGTATCATGGCTGTGTTGTTTTTCCTTTGAAGTGTACAATAACTGGAGATACACCGATGGGCGGAGCCAGCAAAAACTGTGCCGTGTAAAAAAAATTATTGAACACTAAGGCAATTCAAATGTTTTAATTTTTTTATTTGAATTTACAGAATAAAAAGTTTTTAATATATAAACAATACTTTTGTCATTGAAACCAAGGTTTTTTTTAAATTGAACACACAGGCATGTATCCCAAAATAATACGAAATGAAAGTGCAGGTGTAAAATGTACTGCTACCACCGGTCTGACCCAAAACTTCCACTTTATCATGAACGTTCATTTTATTAGATGTAGATATATCCAATAGAGGTCCATCCTTGGGTTCTTTCTTCGGCAATTTCCTTGGGTTCTTTCTTCGGCAGTTTAGGTTCTGGAGAATTTAAAACTTTTGACACCGTGCACGCAATCTCCGCATTTCCACGTTTGTAGGCCCGCATTCCCATTTCTGACCTACGCCCCGTTCGACCCATAATCTCCTGTTCCTCGACCCCGTTTTGATAGAGTTCCGTTACGCATGTTCTTTTTCTTGACTGGTTTGTATAGTTTCCCTTCAGACCTGCTTTTTCACAAACAGTTCTTATAATATTTAAATTCCTACCGCCGAAATATGGCTGAAATATTGCCGACTCGGCGTAAAACAATAATAATCAATCAATCAATCATCAGGGATTTTTATTTATTAACACCGTCTAATTGCGAGCCATAACGAGGGAGCGAGCTTGCCAGTAAGCGGCGGTAAAAGGATCCTTCGTTTCCCAGAGCATCTAGGTATACTTTTAAAAAATCAGCCATGCAGCGCTCCCCTGAAAAAATACGTTCAAATATATTAAAGCTTTACATAAACAACACATTTTTTCTTAAAATTAATTTTAGGAGTTGGGGAATAAAAAGAAGAAATCGCAGCATCTTGATATACAGTGTAAACAGTAACCTCAACATGCGCAGATCTAGAAAGAGGTCTAGACCCCCCCCCCCCCTCCCTCCCAGAATTTGCATTGTTATCAAATGTATATACTGAAGCAGATAAAAAAAATGACTTTCGACACCCCTTAGAAAATGACATCAGTTTTTTGCTTGTCAAGAAATTTCTGGGTTGAAAATTTATTTTTTGACTGGCTTGGATCCCCACTTCCTTGAAAAAAATTCTAGATCAGCGCTTGCTCAAACCTACAATTTATACAATAAATAAAGAGCGGGGAAGGGACTTACCGGGCTGACAGTAGTGCCGTATTTGCTTGTGTAGTTCCTTGTGAGCTAGTCCTCCCTTGAAGGTCTTTGTTGATCTGCTTGTGAATTCTATGTATTTCCCCCTATTATCCTCACCAAGAAAAAAACTTGTCACATTGGAGAGAATGATGTTCGTCATGGCCCCTTAATCCAAAGAACTTGCAACTGTAGAAAAAAAAAAACAATATTCTGAAGGGTTTCTGCTTTGTTCATCCCGAAAATCCCTTTCTCCCAGATTGTAGCCTCATCTTCTTGAAGTATGGGATCTGCTTGTTTTTGTTTTCCCCCAACTCCTCTGCTTAATGCGTCCTTCATTTGACTGTTCAATATTGTACGGAACCCTGCAAATCTTGGATCCGCCGAATCGAAAAAGTTCTTGCCATAAATTTCACGATCCCGTAAATATCTTAAAATTCCACAGTTAATGTAGTACAATGTTTTTGCAGGATATTCATTACCACCTTTCTACGTACTCTAATAAACCTTCCTAAATAAAAGTTCAACTGCACTGCGTTCATAGTTTCGATTTCTGGTATAAAGAGTTCTTGCCCTTGACAATGCGCATTTCGTTCACGCCGCCAGCTTTCAAAAATATTAAATGACCAACGTGTATTTTTTTCGTGTTGCGATTTTCGTGACTCTCTATCAACGCTTGAACTTCCTCCTCTTCAACTTCAAAACCAAATCGTGGTTCTTCGAATTTTTGAACACATTCATTTTTTGTTTCCATATTCATGTCACGAACCCCGCCATTCTCTGTCTCAAGGCTCAAGTCAAAATTCATTAGATTCCCTAGGTCTGCGTCAAAATCCACGTCGAAATCCTCAAGTTTAATTTCTCCAAAACAATAGTTCATTTCTATTTCTTCGCAGGCCTGAGATAAAATTAAGTCCTCATCATTCGATAAAAAATCAAGGCCTAAATCTAATAAATCGTCCGTGTTCACAGTTGGAAAGCTGCAGTCCGACATCCTGTACCGTTGAAACACGAGCAAAAAGTGCGTATTAGAAAAAATAGTGGCGGGAAGGAGAGAATATGCACGTAGTCACATGACAAAAACTAGAGTTTTTATTAATTTTATTAAAAATCACGCATCGAACACCGGTCACAAGACAATTATTGATGTTTTAATTTGCCTTGATACAAGAAAGGTATTGAATATTTATTATGGTGTATCCTGATTTATTTGGACGAAGGGGCGGAGACTCGTGCTTCGCACTCGTCGCCGCCCTTGGTCCAAATAAATCAGGATACACCATTATAAATATACAATAACTATTACTTGTTACATTATATAACCTCGAACTTGAGACCCACATATTTTACTCAGAAAATATTTTTCGTTGTTATATGATAGGAATATTAAATATAGGTTTCAATAATGTATATTTTTTTAACAAAGTTTACACATTCACTCAACAGACTTTGCCAAAAAACGAAAATACATTAAAGAAGTCTAGATAAAATTTACACAGTTTTTTGCCTGAAAATCGCAAATTTTGACCAATATCTCGATATTTACATCACTGACCCCAACTTTTTCTTTCATTATTTTAAACTACATGGTACTTTCAACCGATCAGCACTAAAGTCATTAAAAGTTTGATACAAGAAAATATTTTATTGCCTATTTAGTTTTTGAATACCCCAAATATACTTTTTTTTAGTGCAAAAAGTTCATACAGTATTTTATGCGCATTAATTTGTATGGTTTGTTCAATAATACATATCATTAAGGATATTTTACGTAAAATAAGATAATATTTATTGTCATGATTACATCTGATAAAATATTATAAAGATTAATGTGATTAAATTAAAAATTACAATTTAAGTGCAAAAGGGTCAAATTTATTGTACCGTTGCTCGGTAAGATGCATACTGACCCCCATTTTTCTTTGCATTTTTTAATCATGCTATAGGAGTACATATCTCAAATATACTTCTCAAAAATCCTTGATATGACTAATATCACGAGTGACACACGTTAAGACATTTTAATAACTTCCTGTTAAAAGATAGAGATTAAGAGTTAAAAGGAAAGAGGGGGAATTGTTATTTTTCACTCGTATCTTTTTTTATATGTGTATTGAAAGAATTATAACATTTTTTTACTAGGATGGAAGTGTATGCTTTAAGTGTAAACTTTAGGAAAAAACCTTAAAGTAATGAAGTAAACTTTTTATATCAATTCTTGAACAAATTACAGAATTGCCTCACAGTACTAATCTTAGTGGATGTACTTTGATTGCTTATATTTTTAAGACATGTAAGATCTTTAGCAAATCATGCTGTTCAGGAGTTGTGGTAAGAAGGGTCAAAGATCTTGCTTAAAACTTGTCTTGCAAATTACATCACAACTTAAAAAAAAAATATATAAAACGAACAATATATGTGACAGAGCCAAAAGAGCCAGGTAAACGTTACTTAAAGACTACAGTATCGACCAGACACAACCTTACAGAAAGCGGACCCGAACCAAACCCGGGCTTCGCATTGAAGGTTCGTTTGGGGTCCGCTAGCCTAGAACGAATCCCGATCGAAGCTTGAGCGCATCCCGGGTGGAACCGGAGCGAACGCCAATTTCAATTGCGCTTCCAGAAAGCGAACGCCGGGTTCGGTATTGCATAACAGAGCTGTCCATCAGGATTACTCATTGACCAATCAGCACGCCGACCAATCACATGTTTTGATTGAGTGTCCAACAGGAAGGGGTTCAACATACTTTATATTTTAAAATCAATTCAGCTTCACTCTGTTAGCAAGTAGTTTTTTATACGTTGACGTCGGGACTGATGGCTGAACAAATGATAATGGCATTTTGGCTAGGCCTACCTTAATAGAAATGACATGCGATTTGAATACGCCGCGTCCCTGCTCACTTCCTGAGCGTCATTTAGAGATACCATTTTTCATTGAAGGTGAAGATGCCTTCCCTCTTAAACATTATGTTATAAAACCCTTACCAAAAAGACAATAACACTTAGAAAAGCGTTTATTTAACTACACTAAACATCTAACTAAAATGCATTTGTAATTCTGTCTTATCGATTTGGTATTTTCCAAAAGCCACAGCAATTTGATCCTGACAAAGTAATGGTTTTTGTTTAAGCGTCTTGTGTTCTGTACAATTATCTGTGATCACAGGTTTCAACAAAAAAATATATATATACACCGGAAGACATACTCTTTTTATTTTTGCCAGTTCCCAATAACTCATGAACGTAAAGTATTCTTAAGCTAGATCATCCAATTCTCTGGCCACTGATAGGGCAGAGATGGAGTCTGATACAATTTGCTGTACAGAACAGAGAAACGCTCTATTCAATGGCGTAAAGTATATGTCTGTGAGGAGGTTTAAATTCCGTGTAATAGCGCTGCTCATAGGGTAGCATTTTTATGTATGTGACAAAGTATACAGCTTGCTTTGCTATGAAATATGTGAAGATAACGAACAGCATTCGAGCTCCAAAGTCCATTAAACATTACAAAATAGAAGCAGAGCAAACACGGACCTCTAAGACATCAGAGGTGGGATCAGGTGCCAAGGAGGAGTGAGCATCCTCTGCCCACCGGTCACACCCGCCGTGTGCTCCTTGTCATGTTCGGGAAATAACAGTATGAAAAGTCAGTCAGCATGTAAACCGGCCCTAGCAGCTTATAATGGTAGTGGTTTTGAAAAGAAATGAAGGAGATAATATTCAGAAGATGTAAATAATTATGCTTCCTTACTGATGATTTCATCTGTGCTTGTAGATAATGATAAATATTTTTCGTTTGTAGATTTCTAATGATGATTTAACAAAGTGTTCTGAGTTGATTTATGCATTTTTACAAAAAAAAACAACAAATGTATGGCCCCTCCAATTTGAAAATTTATAATTATTCACTGTTTCAGCCATTATTTATTGCTTGTCTTGTAAGTAATCACCATTCCACGCCGCTTAAGTAGGTTGTTGTATAGACAGTTTTGAAACAATAGCAGAGAAATTATTTTTTGTTGTCATGTTCGTTCCATTTCCACCAATATTACACATATTTAAACTTGAATGTTAGAGGAGAAATTTGTGTCAAACATAACTAGTTTAATAAATATATGTCTCCGTGATCGTGTATTCGAATTACGGCCGCGATTGACCTAAGTCGATAAAAAAAGTAGCAACTGTTCCTTCGCCAAGCGCTCGGCACTTAAAAGTGAAAGTTATTGGTCTTTCGGATGAGACCTTGAAAACGGAGACCCCGTCTCACGGTAGCCGTTGGCACGATAAAGAACCCTCACTCTCAATGGCCCTGAGTGCCGAGTAAAGGTCTAAATTTGAAGACGTTCACCAGTATATGTAGACGTCTCTATATCAGTTAAAAATTCTCGAATGGGATGTAAGGCAACATGCAATCAATCAATCAATAATTATGTGCCATTGAAAATAGAAAGCATAGGTTATTATTCTTGAATAATTTATGAATTATTTTCTATTGAACATTCCCTTTATCGAGTTTTATTTTGATAAAAGATGAACTTTACAAGATCAGAAGCAACATAGTTGTCTTATAAATGATTTTTCTATTTTTAAGAAAACTTAGCACTGCAGAAATTTGCTTGGCAACTGAATAACTTTATTGACAAAGAAGGTAATAAACACTGGGGTGCAGAAAAAGCTGTGGATGGTCATTACATCGACCGTTCGGCATCTGGAAACTACTGTACAATATCGGATAACCAAAAAAGTACTGCCATATGGAGAGTTGATCTGGAAGGCGTTGTCAGTATCAGCCACATCAACATCTTCTACAGGACGGACAATGTTCCAAGTATGTGTAATCAGTCATTTATTGTGTGTCAGGTATGAGGTGCCATTGTTTTTTCCATTATTACTTTGCAAGCACAGATTGATACATGTAATTTGATTTCTATTCCCCCTACAAACATTGGGGAAATATTAGGTAAATCATACGTTTTGAGTAGCTATTTTAGAAATTGTAAACTTCGTAGAATTGAGACATTTTCTTCAAACAAAAATATTAAAATTCTCAAACTTTACACAGACGTATGTTTTGTATAAAACAGTCAGGAAATTCATTCTCACGAAATACAGAATTCTCCCTTCTCGGATGCAAACTATTTTTTAAATTGAAAAATTATACACCTTTGGTCATTTTTTTTTTATAAATGTTTCCTTAGCGGGCCACTATTTCCTTCTTTTTTTTTTTTTTACCTTTTGTGGTCACCCAAGTTGCTCATTTGACCTTTATCTGTGTTGCCCGTCCTTTCCAAATGTACTATGATTTTTTTACCCTTTGACCTCGTAAATATTGCACAAATACAGAGTGCACAACTTTTTTTGAATGATCAAACACATCGCTCGACTTTAAGCAATAAGCAAGCAATCATTCAACCATTTTGGTATAAAGCATCTTATGGTAAAGCGTAGTTAGAATAATCTAACTGTGTCTCGGGACAAGCCCTCACCACAATTAGAATACGTCCCATATACTTGCAATGTAGCAAATCGGAGTGGATCCACTCCGAAATGATTATGAAGAATACAAAAGGAGTTGCACTGAAAATAACTACAAAATTAATCATAACAAACCTTTTTGAGATAGTATATGTCTTTTAACCTAAAAAAATAATCCATATAAATACGAAAACTCAACTCATTTTCTCAACTTTTTTTCCTTGCTTCAAATTTAACGCCATGCTGACATTCGGAACTCTCTGGATTGTTCATAGAAAATGCACAGAGTACGAGTTATCGCCCGTGTTTATTTTGCAACATTGCTAATACACGGAACGAATTCTATCGTTAAACCGGGTCCGTAGGACAATATCATTATAACGATAGAACGTTCTATCTAGGTAAAGCGGAACAAAATTGTTAATATCATGGTATCTGCCTCTCTACGGACATGAACGTTGTAGCAAGAACTAAAAAAAAAAGACATTGAGATGGTGACTATCTAAAGGAGCACCAACTTTCTTTCCAAAAAATAAAATTAAATCTATAAATGAAACTGCAATTGATAAAAACAATATTTTTTATGATTGTATCTAGTTTATTTATTTGTAAACAAGATGTGTTTGTGAAACACTGATGTCCCCGTATGGCAACTTATAGCGAAGGTTAAACTTTCTCAAATGCAAATAAAATATCCTGGTACCCAAAGTAAGGTCTTGTGAGGAGGAATATTCCTGTGAAATATGAAAGCCCTTGCAGCAACTGTTGAAAAGATATGGAAAAGGTTAGTTTTTCAAAAGTAAGTCAAACATCAAGGCCAGGGTCAAATGGTCAAAATTAATGGTGCTCAAAGAAAGGCCTTCTCACAAGAAATACACATTTGAAATATAAAAGCCCTTGCACTAACCGTTCAAAAGATATGTCAAAGGTTAAAGTTTTTCAAAAGTAGGTCAAGGTCAAAGGTGTTGGTATCCAAAGTAAGGTCTTGTCATAAGGATTGCATATGTGAAGTATGGAAACCCTAGCACCAACTGTTCAAAATAAATGGCCAAGGTCAAAGTTTTCCACACGTAGGTCAAACTCCAAGGTCAATGGGCTATAATTTTTGGTATCTAAAGGAAGGGTTAGTCACAAGGATTACACATGTGAATATGAAAGCCCTAGCACCAAATGTTCAAAAGTTATGGCCAAGGTTAAAGTTTATCCAAAAGTAGGTCAAACTCCAAGGTCAAAGTTGTTGGTATCTAAAGAAGGGTCTTGTCACAAGAATTACATTTCTTGAAGAATGAAAGCCCTAGCACCATCCGTTTAAAAGATATGGTCAATGTGAAAGTTTTTTAAAAGTAGGACAAACTCGGAAGTCAAGGTCAAAGGGTCAAAGTTGTTGGTATCCAGGGGAAGGTGTTACAGGGATTACACATGTGAAGTATGAAAGCCCAGGCACAAACCGTTCAAATGTTATGGCCAAGGTTAAAGTTGGGAAAATTTTTTGTAAAACTGGGTCAAACTCCAAGGTCAAATATGATGGTACCCAAAGAAAGGTCTTTTCACAAGGAATATGCATGTGAAATATGAAAGCCATAGCTCCAACCAATCAAAAGTTATGAACAAAGTTTTTGCGGACAGACAGAAGACAGACGGACGGACAGGGCAAAAACTATATACTCCCTAATCTTCAATACGGGGGCATAAAAAAATCTGTATGATATTAATGAATAAACCGACAAATCGCATTTATTGCTGACGAAATATTTCATGTTTCACATGTTCATTGCCTGTGACAAGACTTTTCTGAATTCAAAATGTACTGATTTTTGTCCCCCTCTTTCGAGAAAGCGAGGGGACGTTAAATTCATTCGTCTGTTAGTCTTTCTGTCACAAAAACGTTAACCTTGGTCAAAACGTTTGAATGAGAAAAGATGAAGCTTTCATATTCACATGTACATTACCATCGACAAGATTTTTCCAAATATACTTTGATTTTTGACCCTGTGACCTTGAAGTTTGACCTATTTTTTAAAAATTTTAACATTACTTTAAATTGTCATAACGTTTGATGAGAATAAATAAGCCTTTCGTTTTATACATGTTTATTACCTGTGGCAAGACCTTTCCAAATATATCATGGATTTTGACCCCTAGACCTTGAAGTTTGACCTACTTTTCAAAACATTTTTTAATTTGCTTAAATAATTTTTGGTTGAGAAGAGGTAAGGCTTTCATATTTGACATGTGCATTACCTTTGACAAGATCTATCCAAATACACTATGATTAGCCTTGAGTTTTGACCTACATTTCAAAAATTTTAACATTACTTTAAATTACATGTAGTCATAAACTTTGAATGAGAAAAGATAGGGCTTTCATATTTAATATGTATATTACCTGTGACAGGACTTTTCCAAATATGCTATCGTTTTGGACCCCATGACCTTGAAGTTTGACCGACTTTTCAAAAGTTTTATCTCGACATAACTTTTGGATTGAGAATAGGGCTTTAATATTTGACATGTGCATTACCAGTGACAAGGTGTTTCCAAATTCCAAGCATGCTTACCTTTGAAAAAGAGAGGTCATTCATGTTTGACATTACATGTGACAAGACGTTTCCAAATATCCTCCTTTAAATAAAAATAACAACAAAAAAAAAGATAAAAGGAAAAAAAAAAACAGCACAGAAGTAACAAACAAACAAACAAAACAAAACAATACTTGCTAATTTATTTCTAGGTCCTGGTGCGTACTTTGGTCGATTTGCTGGGTATTTCCTGTATGTTTCGAACACCACGTCACGAAAAAATGGTTTTCTCTGTTTCCATGAGCTACAAAATGTAACCGGCACTCCAGTGGAAGACCAGAAGATAACCTGCCCCGTTCATGGACGATACGTCATATACTACAACGAACGGAAACCCAATGTGACTTATCCAAGTTACTATTCTGAATATGCTTACAATGAATTGTGTGAATTAGAAGTGTATGGTAAGATTTGAATTAACAAATTTCATAACGGGGGGGGGGGGGGGGCAGTAGTATCATTTTATCAATTTATGTACTAAACTGGACATGAACTGAAGGTAAACGCTTGTTATACAAAATTTTACCAAAAACAAAATCAGACGGGGAGGGGGGCGCACCCGGCGTTGGATCCGCCTTTGATTAATACCACATAGCACCTTTCTCGACATTGTAGGATGTAATGACCATTATCATCAATGAAAAATTTTTCGTTTCTATGAACAAGGATGTCCTGATCCACGATACTATGGGGAAAGCTGTGACCAATTGTGCCCAGATAAATGCCAGGAGAGAAGATGTAACATCAACACAGGCAAATGTTTGGGCTGTATTCCAGGGTATCACGGTCCTCGCTGCAATCAAGGTATTTATATATATATCCCTTCCTACACTTTTAAGAAATTTAACTACATGACTTCAAAACGATCAAATGCATTTTTTATGATGAAGTCAATAATATCTTATAGTGACATTTCAGTAAAATTGTAATAGATGGAAAGAAATAATAGTTCTTTATCATTTGAATGCTTCCGTTTTCAATCAGAGTGAGGTTAAAATTGATTTATTTTTTCGTGCCAAAGTTTGTATTTCACGCATCTTAATATGGTCTGCTGAAACTCAGCTGCCACGAGAGCTGTCACGTTGATGAGTATTTTTGGTTCTTGTAGTGTGTGTTGATAACAAATACGGACTAGGATGCGCATTATCATGTGGTAACTGTAGTGACGGAGAAACGTGTCACCATGTCAACGGCACATGCATGAATGGATGCAGCGAAGGAGCAGAAGGGAAATCATGTCAGAACGGTGATTTTTTTTCAACTTTTCTTTGGATTATTACTCGGTGGTAAAATATTTCAAAATAAGTTTATGAACCCCGTTATCGCACTTGGTTTTCAATAAGCAATAACCGCATGCATTAATCTATGGGTTTTTTATTTACTCGTTTCGTCATTCCAGCTTGCCGATTTGGTCAATACGGTGGTAATTGCAGATATAAATGCAGTGATAATTGTGGGGTGGCTAACCAGTGTAATAGGTTTACTGGAGAATGTGATGGAGGGTGCAAGGCTGGTTGGAAGGGAGTTCGATGTGACGAAAGTATGTGTACATACACAGGCCCGTAGAACGCGGGGCCTTCCCCCACCCAAATCGACATACCCATGATAGCTCTTTAATGCTAATTTGATATGTAAAATGTACATTGAAAGGCCGTCCCCTTCTAAAGTTATTTATATTTTCTCGAAAAAAGATGGGTACCCCCCCCCCCGGAAAAGATGTATTATCAAAGTTGTGAATAATCCCACCTCCGTTTTTCAAAATCGATGATGCCATTAGAGAGGGTTTCACCTATATAATTTTCATTTGTTGTAAATATTGCGTGCTTTTTTTGTCGGAGAGGGCAGGTCAGTCATTGATGTTTTCTACGAAAATATACCTTTGTGATTTACGCAGAAAAAAAATAAAGTATTTTTTCCGTACACTAAAAGTTTAAAAAATATATATATATATATACATATGATTTGTTAAAGAGTGTGATGGTGGAATGTATGGATTTAACTGCAACCAAAGCTGTGGTAAATGCTCTGATGTAATGAAATGTGATCACATCAACGGCACATGCGTAAACGGGTGTTCCGCTGGGTATGAAGGATCGCATTGTGACTCTGGTACGAATTTGCTGTTAATACAATATAGAACAATTATTTAACCTGATTTGTTTATGCCGTATTCGCTGAAGAAAATAAAGCTAAAAATTCAATCTACACAATTTATTGCAAAATACTTGCATGCAACTACCTCTTTTTTTTATTTTCTGAAGTTTAACATTAGAAATAACGGAGGTTAAAACAAAATATTTTCAGGGGTAATGTTTAAGATAAAAAAAAACCCAGTCTTTACACTATATTCCTTTAGAAATATCTGTAAATTGCGAATCAAGTTAATACGTTACGTTTCATAAAGAGAAATGCATGTATATGTAATAATGATTACTTTTCGTGCCAGGATGTCAACTTGGTCAATATGGTATGAACTGCAGAAACGAATGCAGTGTAAACTGTGGAGTGACCAAACGATGTAACAGGTTTACTGGAGAGTGTGTGCAAAACTGCAGACCAGGATGGAAGGGGATGGGATGTGATAAAAGTAAGTTTGTGAATCAAAATGTCCCTGTATTTTCAACAGACTGTAAACGAATTTGTTTGGTCTTCCAACATAACAAAATCCTTCAGACCAGCCAGAAATCATTGAGTTGGAATAAACATTTCATTTTGTTCCATTAAAAGGGACATGCTCGTTTACAAAGTTTATGAGTAGCAGAGAAAATCGTATTGCATGTAGTTCGTTGCAAAAAAGGATCAGTAGTGCTTAATAGTGAACCGTTGATAGAGGAAAGCCATGTTTGTTCAAACCACTGCTTGAAGTGATAAGGGTCATCAAATGTACAAGAATAGTAAAATACAAATTCTAAAATTAATAAAGTTACAGACTTTTTTCAGTATTTTAGAATACAGATTTGTTGTTGGGTCGTGAGTTTTACTCAATGTATTAAAATAAAAGATTACATGAGACAGGCAATAAAGGTTTCTTGCGAAAGGATTTTATAAATTGACAGTCCCGTTTACACTCATCATTTCGCAAATTCTCTGGTCGATACAATGACCTTGTTAGCAAATACAATCTGTTGTTGAATCGAATGTTGACCGACATTTTGCATACAGATTGTTAGGCCATTATTCTGATACTGAATTGTCTACAGATTTTTCCGTTTGCCCGATCATAACAAGGAGCACACGGTGGATGTGTCCGGTCTACAGGGGATGCTTACTCCTCCTTGGCACCTGATCCCATCTCTGATGTTTTTAGACGTCCTTCTTTGTTCTGCTCCAAATTTGTATTATTCAATAGACTTTGATTTGTATTACTTTTACTGTTCTTTGTCTTTATATTTCATTTATACAACGATTTATTTATTAAAGGACGATTGTCATTTTATTGTAGAATGTGATACTGGCATGTACGGTGTTAATTGCAATAAAAGTTGTGGACACTGTATTAGAGATTCAGGTTGTCACCACATTAATGGTTCATGTCTGGAAGGGTGTGTCCCCGGATACGAAGGAGCATTGTGTGTCAATGGTAAGAATGATGATGCCACAGATATCATAAAAATAACTGTTTATACCACTGTAAGGCAAAACAATAATCATACTCTACAAAATAATTTGGAAAAAATAATAAGAGTAACAAAAAATTTAGGGAAAAACTTTTTAACTCTCAAAACATATACAATGTTCATTTGTTTATATGAATTACGGGTATGTGTGGTGCACACTCGTAAAAATATCCACAAAAAAAGTCTGTCACACTCGGGAATAAATTCCATACCTACTACAAAGCATTGAATTTAAAGTTTCTGACATTCTTTTGTTCTTCCTTTCAATCAGTTATTTGCTTTGGTTTGTTTCACATAGAAATTTAATAAATTCATTATTACTGAGATAAATCATTGAAGTATCCGATGTATATAATATCATCGATAAATAATATTTGTATTTCTAAATACATCAAATGAAATAAGGATTCATGCCCTACATATAATACTTGCAAATAAGAAAAATATTCAAATTTCAAAAATGATACATATGTAAAGATACATCCCGTATCTGTTAATTATGTGAAAGCATATTTTAAAGAAAGCATCACTTTTGATGTGAAAATTATTATAATGTGTGTTAAAACCTACTTGTAGGTTAAATTTTCAGAATGTTCTGTTGGATACTTTGGAGTTAAGTGCCAAGAAAGATGTAACACATATTGTGGCGGTAACGACACATGTGACTCGGTCACTGGGATTTGTGACAGCGGCTGCAAGAAGGGATGGAGTGGCCCTCTTTGTGGAACAGGTAGTTACTCATAGAAGAGTTTATATAAGATTGATTGATTGTATGTTGATTTATGTCCCGTTCGAGAATTTTTCACTCGTATAGAGACGGCACCATATATCGTTGAAGGGCTTTAAATTTAGACCTTTACTCGGCACTCAGGGCCATTGAGCAGTGTGTGTTCTTTATCGTGCCAACGCCAACTGTTACACGGGGCTTCGGTTTTTCATGTCTCTACTGAAAGACCCGCAACTTTCACTTCAAAATGCCGAGAGCTTGGCGAGGGAACAGTTGCTATTTTTTATCGACTTGGTGAGTCGCGGCCGTGATTCGAACACACGACCTTCCGATCACGGAGCAAGCAGTTTATATAAGAATGTAACATGTAAACATCTAATTTTAAGGCACTGGAAAACGAATCATCGTTTTGCAACTTCCACGAAACAGCAGAACAGATTTATATGACTTTGACAACATAAAAATCCATCAATACCTGTACATTTGTTCTTTTTGTCCTTGAATCAGAATGGGTTATTCCACTGACATACAACTCCTTAGAGAGTATGAGACTGGAATCACTAACAACATTGTTTGAAATGTGTCTACGCAGGTAGGTTAAGGCTTCCCGTAGAATATCACAGTGCACTGTGTGTCTTCTCATCTCTGAACTACCAGAATATGACGTCATAATGGAAAATGACGTCAAGTCACTGCAAACTCGAGGTGTTATGACGGGGAGAGTTGCATGAACTTTACACTTTATTTCAAACTGCATGTAAAATGCTAGTTAGTTATTGCAAAATTCACCGGCCGTTAAAGGTTTTCTAAGTCTTATATGTCCGAATATTTTAAAAATACACCGCTTACCTAACCTTGATCGAATTCAGCATGTTCAAATGCTTATGAAAAATATACTTTTCAAATGTACTCTGTTTTATACCCGTAGTTGGAGGTAGAATTTATTTTGTATGTATAAAAGAGTCTGGCGCAGGTGATTAATGAGGATTAATCTGAGATTTTTTGTGGAAATATGTAAGAAGAGATTGTTCTCTAACTAAATCTTGCTTGGGAAAAATGTGTGTTGGCTTTGTTTTAATACAGATTACGATATTGTGTGGAAAATACCCTTAAATTTGTAGGTAAGTTGAATTTCTCAGGAAATATTTTGTATCTAAGTAATACTATGACTTTTCCGAAGCACATTTCGGATACACAAGGATAGGATGAGATTATTTATATAACAAACTATTAATAATTATTGTGTTAATCAGCTGCGCCGAAGCGATTTATATGAAACACTTCGAAAAATTATAAATGACCGTCACGTGATCAACAAAGTCATGTGATATCATAACAAATATGTTAATATATAGCCGAGGAAACCCTCTATATAAATTGGAAGTAGTAAAGTTCAATGCTTATAAATTAAAATCGAAACCGACCTCGCAATGACATGTTTTGAGCGCATTTTAAAGCTTCGGGAAGCCTTAACATAGCTGCATACATTTTGGATTACACATATCACTGTCATTTACCTTGACATATATTTTCACCCTAGCATGAAACCTTTGGCGTCTTCCTTTCGCAGTAATGTATCTAGTAGCAAGTGTATGACCGAAGTGATAAACTTAAGAGTCCATGAAATCGTCTACATATTTACAGAGTGAAATCGCGACATATTGAAGATTGATTGATTGTATATTGTTTTGCGTCCCATTCGAGAATCTTTCACTCATATAGAGACGTCACCATATACCGGTGAAGGGCTTCAAATTTTGACCTTTACTCGGCACTCAGGGCCATTGAGCAGTGAGGGATCTTTATCGTGCCAACGCCTGCCGTGACACGGGGCCTCGGTTTTTAAGGTCTCATCCAAAGGACCCGCAACTTTCACTTCAAAGTGCCGAGCGCATGGCGAAGGAACAGTTGCTACCTATTTTTTATCGACTTAGGTCTGTCGCGGCCGAGATTCGAACTCACGACCTCCCGATCACGGAGCGAGCGCTCTACCGACTGAGCTACCGTAAAACGGATGATTATGGTAAACTAATACCTGTTATGCAAGTCTGACATTGAAAAGTCAACCGCTACTTCTGTAGCATGATTGAGATTGGACAGTCCTCTGCATCATTGTTTAGGTACCCTTACATCTATCATTTTTTTTTACCCTTTGCTCTCGGAAAGAAGTATACGCCTGATATCTTGCCATTTCTGTATCAAGTTTAAGACAAATCATACAACGTGCCAAAATCTGAATTTTAGCATACGCACATACAGAACAGTTACATGCACTACAACACCACTGCTACTTTGATGTGTGCAAAAGTGATCGTGTTTTTTTTTCTTTTAGAGGAAGGAAAAGCTTATCTTAATTATATACCTCTATGCATTTAAAATTAGCAGTAATTCAAGTATCCATCTCTATTTCATTTGTATTGAAGAAGCTCCTGCCTTGTCGACATATACACTACAGTCAACGCGGTTTCCGTATTTACCGCGAGTCCTCGCGGTGTGAAATTGATCGCGGTTTAACACAGGTAACTCAGGTAAAACCGCGTGTTCTCGCGGTACGGGTCCTCAACTAATCCACACCATCGCGGTTTGTGTTATCCGTCTCAGGTAAAAAATTATTCTCTTCATGAACGCGAGTTACCTCCCCCGACGGAAAAAAAACACAACAGAACAAGAATGAATAGAAGTAAAAAAAAAATTAAAAGGATAAAACCAGTCTTAGCAGTTATTTAGGTCTCCCTTTTTATATTTGATTATTTTATCTTTTTTACTTATTTCACACCTCTTTCAAAAATAAAAAAAGAAAGGAAAGAAAAGGAAAGAAAGAATGCATGATATGGAGACAACTAGATATTTAATTATAAATTGTGTGTTCATTTATTGTTCTTAACTTATTCTTAAATATACATATGCATTAATTTTGTAGATCACAGTTATAGATCATCCGATAACTCAATGATTTAATTGTCAATTGAAAACAACTTTTCCGTCATTTAACCATTTTTAAATAAGTAAAATAGTCGCAATACTAGTATTTAAAAAAAAAAGCCGCTCAGAATAAAATCTTCAAAGGAATAGATATTTTTTTTCTGTATTCCTTATTAATAATTCAAGTTTCCTTGAAAACTTTAAACTTGAGAAAGTACGTATGAACGTACATCATGTATTATAATTCTAGACTCTTTTTCATGACTTCCAATCTAGTGCGCTTTGTACGGTATTTATCCAGGTATTACAAACAAACTATGATTCGGGTGTAAAATATGATTTAAAAAAATATATCCTGTCTATAAATATTATCATTCAAACTTTAATTTACTTTAGATACATGTTTATTCGTAAATAGCAAGCTTCACCCTATTTTGATTTAAAAATTGAATTAATTTTCGGTCCACATCAACTGATAATTCAAAAATTTAAATCTGATTCAAAGTTATTTAAGTTTTCATTCGTTAATTGTTTTCTAGTGACTGACTTCCCATGCTCTGGGCATCACACATTATGTTCATGCATGTGATACCCCTTCCTGAATTTACGTTGGGTTTTTTTTTGGGGGGGGGGGGTAATTTATTTACCTTCAATTACAGGCAAAAAACGTTATTAATAGCTCAGAGAATCTTACAGCATGTGCAAATATACAACATTCGATTTTGAAATTTAATTTACTTTACACTGATAAAATACAATTGGAATAGACAGAAGGTTCTACGTGTCCCCGGGCTAGGTTCGAGTTTGTAGTACGCACAGTCAGAACCTCGGCACTGAAACAGACAGGAAGTGTTATGTAATAGATATACACATACGTCTGCACAACAATAGATTAGATTTCTTAAAGTTGTGATTTACCTGTATTGTATACCTGGACATGCAAAATTTTGCATTCATATTGAATAGGAATCCGCTTCGTAAAACTTGAAATACATCGCAAACTATGAAATAATTTGTCCATTTTATAAGTGGCAAATTATTTTATACAACATTTTCCATTGATTCAATACAAAATTAAATTCTCAGGAACTATTAGAAAAATGAAATTTCATTCAGAATTCCTCCAGAATTTGAAAGGTTTAAACAAACAGCAAGTTTTATGCATTAATATTACATAGAAAAATAGATTGAATAAGTATCTCATATTCAAAAATCGACGACGATAGGAGAAGGGGGGGGGGGGCTGGTTTTAATGAGACGTACTGTACATATTTATTGATTATTTTCTAAAGATATGCTATGTATATTTTGGGCATTCATGAAGTGTGTTGATTAAATAAATATATACAGTATAGTGTAAACATAAACATACAGACAAGTTTCCTGATATGTCCCTCGCCGTTTATTTTAGATTTTTATTCTTAACCCCCATCCCCTCCCACACAAACTAATCCTCATGTTTCTCTACCCAAAATTACAGTGTGTAATTTAACACCCACTCCCTTAAATGATGTTAAAGTTTCTGTTTTGTGAAACCTTTCTCTTTGGTTTCAATAATTACTCTAACAGTCCCAAATTTTTCAAGGTCGCCGACCAATAAAAAAGAAGACTTTTATTGCTATTTTTTTTTTAATTCTTTATACGAGTATAACGATATTTTTGTGATTTCAGGATTGCGTTTGATCAGTTGATATAACCTACAGTACATGTATGATGGGTGATCAAGGTGTCAAGACCGGCTACTGAAATATGGTCATGTAATACATGCAGTTTTTATGGCTTGAAATCACGGTTAACGTAAAAGGGCTTGATCATCTCGTGAATTTTCCGAGAACCCAAAAATTTATTGTGGGCGACCGATAGGATAAGCTACGCCCCACTGCACACGCTGTGATTGTGTAATACATGTACACGTGTTTGGTCAGTTTCATCTTATTTAGTTCATGAATTCTCTGCTTAATTATCAGCTGAGAACGCAACCATTTAATTCTTTTAGCTTTATAAAAATGACAATCTTTTAGAATGATGAACAGAGCTGTTATCCATTTTTTCATTCCCATAAGTCTAACAAATGAGGTAGTGATCAATATCGTTAATTCAAATATTAGGGATTATTGTAAATAAATAATATTTGAATACGTTGGGAGAGGTATTTTGGCGTGAAATTATGTGTTTTCATTTTTTTTTTTAGTTATATATACATTGCAATTTTCAATTCGGAAAAAAAACCCACTGCCGTGATACTGTATGAAAAAACTGTTATGATGAAAAAAGGGCGTAATATAAATCGAATCGATATTTACTACAATAAAAAAAATTATGTTGAGTTATAGATCTCCACAATATAATTCAGGTTACTTATTAGAAACTACAACAATGATAATATTTTGATAGAATAAATGCCAAGTATCATTCAAATATCACCCTTTAGACAGAAAAAAATTTTTTTTATAAATTATTTCTAGAATTTTAAAGCTATATATGGCGTATCTGAGTTAAAAAAATAAAAATACGAGATTGAGTGTAGATGAACATGATATTTGTTATTTACGTTCAAATTAAAGTTTTCGCCGATTTTGAACTTGAATAACCCCACGTTTCTATAATTAAATTGACTTTAAACTGTCTCTCTGATTGGTATAACATAAATCAGTTATTGTTTTAAATTTTTAATATCTATAAAACGCGATTGATTTAAATTGTGTAATTTACAGAAAAGTCCTATCTTTATATAAGGCAATAAAACAAATAGAAAGACCTTTTTAATTTTAGTAAGCCTGAACTTATAAAAAATATGCCATCTATGACTTTAACATGTTTAAGCCACATTTTAAAAAAAAACGATCTTAAATATTCACAATTTAATATCCTTACTTTGACATTAAGGATTATCGACTTCACATTCAGTAAAATACGGTAGAGCACACCGTCACGGTAATCTCGTGTCCCCGCGATCACCGCGATGATAAAACCGCGACGGTGTATCGCGGAAAGGATTAAAACACCATCGCGGGGGCGCGGGAAAATACGGGATCCGCGTTGACCGTAGTGTACAAGTGACCATAACGCTACCATAATTGGTACACTAGTCTCTGTTATCATTGTTTTAACCGGAAGTAGCGTACTGTACTTCATCTGGAAGAGAATTCAGCGTACCTGTAAGTAATTTTGTATGAAATAATGATTCGGGTTAACTCATTTTTATCTGTTGCTTTTATTTGCAAATTTATTTGTGGTTGTACGGAACATTCAAACATTCATGTGCCAGTGAAAAATTATTCAGCTGTCGAACTCTCACTCTGGTTAAAAGTATGTAAAAAAAAAAAAGAATAATTTTTTAAAATATTTAATGAAAATCAATGAGAAATTAATAAATAAAATCAAATGTTCTACGTTTACAGCAGATAGTTCAAAGACAGGGTAAGCTCTATTTTCATAAACAGTCTGCTATGATAGTCTGATAGTGATAGATGTCAATCTGAGATCATGCTTATATGATAGACAATTTATAATCTTTCAGACAATACAAGGAATCGAAAAGTGATCTTACGCCTTTCCACGATTTAGGTAAGATTTTGTTTTTGTGCTGGTCACAGATCTCATTGCATGTATGAAAACTTGTTTTATCTTCATAAGATTGTCATTATATAATAGAATGTAAACTATGTATTGTTTATGTACTTAAACAACATGCGGTTGATGAGATTTATAATTAAGTATAAAAAATAATATGTGAACATCTTCCCACAAGTTGTTCTTAGATAACAAATTTTTCTGTAATTAAGGAAAAACCGTCTAGGTTTTATGATGTGTTTATTCAGTTTGCTCGCGTGATAATTCTGTTTATGCATAAAATTCTTACCCTAGCAAACTAATTGATCATCATTAAAACGGACAGTTTTCACCTTATATTAACATCTTCGCTTGATCATTGATTCAATACAACAATATTTTTCAATCGTGAGAAGTCTCTGCATGCCCCGCCTAGTATATTACTAAGGGACACGCAGCGAGAAAGTATCGAAATCTGTCACGTGCCGAGCAAATTTCATCATGAGGATATTAAACTATTACCTTATTTGTAGCTTTATCTCGGGAAAAAAGACTTTTGAAAATGTAAATATTTCAAAATGAAGGTTATGTACAAATTAGTTGGATAAATATTACAAGAAAAGAACTCCAGTCAGATAAGGAATTAAGAATTAAATTTTCATGAGTAAGAGAATCACTGGATTAAATGGGTTTTTATTACCGAAATTATTTCTTTTAGAGGAACCCAGCAAGAATGACCAGTAAGTATATTATTTTGTTGTTGTGGCTTACTTATCTCCTCAATCTTTATATAAAATACAAACACACATATTCATATATATGTACAGTAATATACACAGTAATATAATATAATAATATACAATAGAATAAATATAATATAATAATATACAATAGAATAAATATAATATAATAATATACAATAGAATAAATATAATATAGTAAAGTACGACGACGGTTGTCCTAGAAAAATGCGAACTTTCTGAATATTTAAAAAACTATTCGACCAAAATAAATATTTTTTTACACCTTGTTCGGAAATGAAATTTTTGACTAAATATTGTAATGTTGTAATGTTACATGCATGCAAAAATAACTTGTTAAAGGGTGTCAAATATCGGTGTTCGGCAGCTTTTTGAGTTTTTTATAACCAGGCTACACGAAAATATAATGTGAAAAAATACCTCATAAAAACTCAATGATCTGAAGTACTCATGTTTAAAAAATTCATTGATTTAGCATCACAAGTGACAAAAATATGACGTTAGATACAAAAACACCTTTATTTAGATATTGTCAAAAATAGTGACGTCGGGCGATAATGCAGAACACCAAATTATCAACCAGAGTAGGGGAAAAACCAGGGTTCTGGACCAGTGTCCTCCCATAGAGTTACTATGGAGGATCCTCCTGGTATCCTCCCAGCGTGTGAGGATACCCATGACGTCATCTAATGAATTTAATTAACAAATTAATTATGAATTTAATTAAAAAATTAATTATGAATCATCAATTAAAAGTTAACCAAGTGTCAATTATTAGTAAATACATATATTCCCTCTTGACTGTGGACTACCCCCCCCCCCCCCTGACTGTAGACTCCACCTTAGCTGTGAACTACCCCCTGACTGTAGACTCCACCTTGACTGTGACCTCTTATCACTTGGGTATTTGAGGTAAATTGAAATGTTTTATTTATTTATCAAAATGTCGCTGTGTAATATGGATTTTACATAAAACTAAACAAAACATTAGAAAAGGTCGATGCATTTATTTTATTGTTTTGATCAAGTTGCAGTCAAGCGAAACACAGGTGAACGCAATGTGTGTTGTATTGGTTAATAACGCCACTTCTATTTATAGAATACAGGTAAACATGTCACGACAAGCATTATGGACAAGATTAAACTGGTTTAAAATCAAAAATTAGACGCCATATTGGTTTTTTTAAACGTGCTTATTTTGACATTTTATTTGTAAAACTATCTAGCTGTTTGCATCAGTGTCAGAACTTGAACTTTATAATGATCAAGAATCCTCACAGCGGATCTTTAACCCTTAACAACATTTCAATCATTTTAAAACAGTGACAGATTGACAATAAATGAAAAGTAAAATGAAAATGAAAAGTAAAATGAGCAATGTGTCAATAGTTTTCGACATAAATTTCATAAGTTTGATATGGCATACCGGTCAAAAGGTTAATCCAAATTAAAGTTACAAAGTTTTATTCATGATTGTCCTTAATATTCATAAAATGTGTGTCACACAAAAGAAACATACACGCTTATCCATGACCCCTGTATATAGCAACGTGAAGCAAGAGAATTCAAGCGAGACACCGGAAAAGCGTCTTCTCGCGGAAGCGGTCATCACCATCTAATGCATCAAATCAGTTTTGGGGTTAACATTTTTTTTAAATATCCAATCAAATTAAAGAATTTTCACAGTCAGTATAACGGGTATATAAAGACCGATGATAATCAAATTCATCACTTTGTGGTGGACCAGACGGTCAGGTAAGTCACTCTTTCTAAAGAATAATCTAAAATAAAAGTTAATCGTATTTTAATGGAAAATGTTAAGATTGATTTTTCTAAGTTGTGGTTATTAATGATAAACTTTTTAATTATACTGATATGTGTTTTTCTTTAGGTTGTGATTATCTCAGAAAAAAGTTTAATTAATTTTAATCTATTAAATTGTTATTTATTTGACTTTTTTTTATTTGTAGAAACAGCCTTAAAGAGGGTTTACTGTATTCAACTGAAGAGGCATCGCTAATTAGTCTAAGTATTACAATAAAAGATGAATACAAGCAATTTAGACATGATTAACAATATGAAATAAATTATGAATTCTGAGACATTGCTGCACATGAACAAGGTGTACCGATATAGGGCGATGTTACTAGCTCACAACGGACAGGAGAGCATTAACGTAACATGTCCCCGTCATTATCGGGAAGACCTGTCCGACTCAAGTTCATGTGAGCCTACTTCGGTGGGCGGAGCTCCGTCCCTGGTGACAGGGATGTTGATGGCCGTGCAATGGTCTTGAAACTGTGGTTTCTTAATCAGAGTTCAGTACTATCTAAATAAAATTATATAAACATATATATATATATCTCCTAATGCAAAATTTTCTGTTAATTACTTGTTTATTTTAATTATTTTCAGATTAGCTGTCTACAATGAAGTCTGTCATATGTAATGTGTGTGGAGCATCATTTACACATTCATCAAATATGTATCGCCACTTAAGGTCAGCTCATAAAAGTTCTGGGCACAAATGCACTACCTGTGGCATGCAATTTAAAAGAAAAGATAACTTTCAACGCCACATGAGAATACAGCATCCAATGACACGTGTTCCAAATTCCGGTGCTGAGAATCAAAACATTTCAGTAGACGAGAACGACATTGAGATGTCAACAGAACCTCAAGAAAACAATCAAATTGGAGGAGGCCTTACAAGCAATGAAACCAATGATTGCATTACAGAAGAAGAATCAATATATGGAAATCTCAAGGTTTACAATTTACCCGCTTTAAATAAGACGAAATTTGACCCCCTTCAATTCTTACATTCCAACTTTGACAAAATTAAGAAAATTCTGAGGACTGCCTTGTTGAAAAGACAAAGTATCAAATGGTATTTAACAATGCAAGTCCGATTCAAAAAGGAAACGAAAGGTCAGACGGAAATGGTGGAGCCTCATTTTCATGGACGTTGTCATATTGCATTAAAAGTCGTTGATTTGGAACAAAGCCTACAAGATAGCATCAAAAAGATAATGACTTCATTTTTAGAGTATCAGAGACAGGGTAGCAATTGGACACTCGATAAAATTATAGGATTGACCTTAAATGTCGCTAAATACAAACCTTTACGAGGATCAAGTTTTATCCCACTGCCAATCAGACTGAGAGTCAAAAAAGCCATTGTGAACGTACAAAATACAGATCAGAAATGCTTCCAATGGGCTATCTTATCTGCGCTACACCCAGCAGCACACCATGCCCAAAGGGTTTCAAATTACGTTCCATATGTTGATGAACTGGACTTTACTGGAATAGAATTTCCAATGCAGATGAAGGACATTATTAAGTTCGAAATCCAGAATGGCATATCTGTCAATGTTTTTGGTTATGAAAAAGGACATGTTTATCCCATTCATTTGACAAAGCAGCGTTTCGAGCGTCACGTAGATCTTTTAGTGATAACAAACGGACAACGATCACATTACTGCTGGATTAAAAACTTTAATCGACTTCTAGCAGATCAAAACAGCGATCGCAACCAGTATTTCTACTGCTGCTATTGTTTACATGGCTTTACAAAAGCAAAACTGTTGGAAAAGCACAGACCTTATTGCAAAGTGCATGGAGCTCAAAGGATAGAAATGCCTTCAGAGGAAAATAAGTGGCTGAGCTATTCTGACGTTTCCAAGCAACAGAAAGTTAGTTTTGTCATATATGCAGATTTTGAGTGCATATCCTCCAAAATTTCAACATGCCAACCCAACTTGTCTAAGCCAAGTACAACTAAGCTAGCAAAACACACTCCTTCAGGGTTTACATATAAGATTGTTGGACCTGATGACAATCTTACGGA